AATTTTTACACTATTGTACATGGTTTACCAAGATCCAGACTGAGACAGTATTCTTGTTGGCCTCTTCTAATAATTTATAGGAGTCTTTAATTTGTTTTACGGTAGTCACTTTTTATTATGTGACGTGAAAATGTGTTTTGTAACCAGTAACGGTCATGGGTACAAGTCATAGAAGCATGTGATTTCGGTCCTGTTTAAAATATGTAATTGTTCGGCTATATATTTTTTTTTTAATCAAAATCCCTAGTAGTTCAGTTGGTGAAAGTTTAATGATAGGTTCAAAGAGGTGCCAAATTCGAATCTTCTTGTCTTAATACCTTTTTTTTTCCCAAAAAAACATTAACTTATAAATCTCTAAAAAAATTTTTCCTTTCGGCCCAAAATATTTTAGGGTATTTCAGGGACGGACCTGATTGTAACCATGATAATACATGTCAATTTTATACGTTACTAGATCACCATACATGTTTAATTAATTCAAGATGATATTCTCTATCACATGTATGAACAAAAAACCGGACTCTAAAATTTGTACTTTAATCAAATATTAAATCAGACACAAAAACTGAGAAAGTTTCTTCTTCTAGATCTAGATTTAGAGTTTTGGCAGCCTCCTCCTCTTCCTACGTTAACCTCAACTCCCTTTTGATACATTATTCGTCAGCCTGAGGCTGGAACCTGAGATTTTTAATTGATGAAAAACGTTTATTCCTGTAGTTGTAGGGAACAAAACTGAGAATTTTTTATCCCACGAGGTTGTTGTTTGTTGCTTTCTCTTACCACAATCAGTGTGATCCGATCTTACCTCGAATTAAAGTTTTTGCTTTTGTGCGGTCCCTTACTGCAGTTTGCATATTCCATTCTTTGGCTTTTGGTGCTATGAAATTCTTCTTGCTTCTTTGTAACAGTTTAAAATAAATGTTTATGATATTGCTCTCAACAAGTCATTGTACCTCTGTGTTTATAACCAAAATTTTAATTCTGTCTTATGTCGCATTTTCAATCTCATGCATTCGACCACTGAATGTGTTCTTTAATTTCAACGCGTCATCTCAACTCTTAGCAACAATGGCGTCGAGCTCCTCTATGATTTTAGTTATTTAAGCATTTGGCTTGCATCTATCTCTCTTCTCTATATGTTTTGTTTTTGCAACAATGTTATTGTTGGCCTTGATGGCCATGTTTTCATGTTCTGTAAACATTTTTTCTTTAATGGAGAGTAGGTAATCTATAAATATCTTGTTTGACCAACAAAAAAAGAAACAGAAAATCAGATGCAATCATCTAGAAAATAAAAAACAAAAGATGTTTTCATAAATACTAATATTTGGCAACCTTCCACTTGTACGACGAATATGTTAAATGACATTCACGTCTACTGAAATTTTCAAGAACAGGTGGAACTCATTGTTCTATTTATTTTCTTAGTTGTGGCTTCCATTGTTCGCCTCTGAAGTTCTTGGTCGATAATACCTTTTCTAAACTGAGTTTTGTCTTTCCCAACTTTGCTCTAACTTTTGTCAAATACTCGACTTAATTAAATCGACATTTAACTCTACATTGTCTTTTTAAGTGAGGGATCTCTTCCTCTAGATTGTGTAAAAAAATTATTTTCGTCCTAGTTCGATATCCTTTGCCGCTCAAACCAATCGGCTAATAATCACGGAGTTGCTCAATTTGAATAGAAAATGAACCATTCAATTTTTTTTTTTGCATTTTTTTAATTTTTCATTCTGACGGCAACTTTTGGTGGATTCCTTATTTTTTTTTCTTCGAGATAGACAAGGTTTATATGGGTTTAATTTTAACTCCGCTTCCTTTTTCTTGGACGAAGTTTACAATTAGTATTCTTCTTCTTTGCGGGATTGAAACTTGGCTATCTAGTAGTGGTTAACAAGTCGCTTTCTGAATCCGTCCGATTTCTAAATATTATGAATAGATCCAAGATCTACGTATCAAAATACAATTGATTAATACATGATAACTGAAATTTATCCTCAACAACTACAAAATTGTTTACACTTTTTTCTAATGATAATTAGATTTATGTTTTAACTTTTTTTACTAATCTTTAGATCTATGTTTTCATCTTTTCAATATTCTCTTAGCTTCTTACTATATTCTACTTTAGTTTAAATAATAATTTATGTTCTGAAATAAAAAAATCAGACAATTCATGTACAATCGTATTGCTATGATTAGTTAAAATATCACTTAAAAAAAGTCAGAGAGTTCATCGGTGGTGACTGTAATGATCCTGTCAAGAGATCAAAAGAGTTACAGGAGATGAACGAGTCAAGACCTAGTTGATGAAAGAAAAATTGTTAAGCATGACAGGATTATAAGCACGAGGTGGCCTGAAGCACGACCTGGTGAGAAGCACGAGGTGGCGAGGTGCTTTCAAACTTGATATTTTTTACAAAAATATAAAAGTTTGTGGAAACACGACACAGCTGCTCGGGATTGACGTGCTTGGAATCCGCAAGCACAACGAATCTGCAAGCACGACAAGTCAGAAGCACGACAAATCCGCAAGTACGACAAATCTGCAAACATGAAAAGTCAGAAGCACGACAAATCCCGTATGCACGAGGTGTCATGATCTTGTGTGACGAGTCATCGGAAGCACGACAAATCCACAAGCACGAGGTGTCGCGACCGTGTGCAACGAGTCATCAGGAAGCACGACACATACACGCTGACTGTCCTCTTGTGCCTACCTGCTTCCCTAACCTTATAAATAGGACCTAAGTAGATCCCATTTTCTTCATAGTTTTCGTTCCAAACCTCTGACAAAATCAGAATAGAAAATCTGATCTTTGTCCGCGCTCGTGATCTAGTCCAGGCGTGTTCGTGAACCACTGGCAAGATCTTTGGTTGAAAGTCTAGCCTAAGTTTTGTCCATTTTCGTGAAAGAAGTAGTCTGTGGGATAGCCAAAGAACCAAATCCGGTCTAGAGCTTAAGTCCGAATCTAAGCCCTAACTGTTCAGAATAAGGTGAGTCTTGGTGATGTTTGTCGTGTGCTAGATTAGTAGAGCACACGTTGCTTATTTATTCTTATACTTTATAGTCGTAGAGGTTCGTGTTAGAATTTTAGGGATTTGGTTAAGTGTTTTCTTGGATTGTGTGTGCATGATATTTGATTGTGTGATTGCATGCTGCATGAGTCATGGGATGATTATGTTTGTATTTGCCGCTAACCTTTGTGGATGCAAGACTTCAAGAGGAAGCTGATTCGCATGGGATCTGAATAGATACATGCGAGTCAAAGGTAAATTTTTATGTTGTGTGTGAGGTTAGGCGTTACAAGTGATCAAGATGATCATGTAACGTTCTAACAATTGTAGTGAACGGTTGAGACTTCCAGGTATCGGGAGTCACGGAGAAATGAGATTGCAGCCTAGGACCGTGACTACCGATTGTAATCCACAAAGGAACGAGATTACAGCCTAGGGTCGTGGTATTACAGAGTCGGATCACTGGTCTTTTAGCCTTTAT